CTTTCGAGCCTATACAGCTTGGAGTAAGACAACATGCATGAAGAGGATGATGTGGACAAAATACTCATTTGCCTAATAATTCTGCACTCCCTGTAGGTGCGTAGCGCAAACATGGGACACAAGGGAATGTCGCTTTCTCTCATTCTCGGACACTAAAGCTCAGAAAGTTCAGGAGCTAAAAGGTCGGAGAGTTGAAGCTGCAGGGATAACCTCAGGTAAAGCTGCCACATTAGGGTCTTGGAGAGCTCAGTAGAAAAGGGATACACAAACAGAGCCTGGAGGTCATCCAGAGAAGACGTGTGAGAGCTACTGCAGTCTTGTATGAGAGAAATCTTATATCTATAGTAGATTTATGAGATTCAAATGTGAGGCCAAATCCCATAAAGTGAAGCTGGGTTTAACCTCAGGCCTTTCAGACTATCTGCATTAGGAGAATCATTTGATATGTGATGCACTCAGTTAATTGAACATTAACATTTACATGGATTAGTTGTAGTTTCATCTATGCTGCACTGGAAATGTGAAAGCAACATTTCCAGTGCAGCATAAAAAGCACAGCAGGGTGAACTGGGCTGTTCTGACTATTAGGCGACACCCCCACCCGCTTGTCTTCATGTTATCCTAACCTGTCTTTGTCTCTGCAGGGTGATTTGTCTGTGCGCACAGTTTGAAGCGGTGCTGCAGCACGGTCTGAGGAAGAGCAGAGGTCTGGCCCTCACAGCTGCCGCTCTCAAACAGGCCGCAGGCTTCAGCAGCAAGACTGAAACAGGTACGCCAGGTTCCCGTACGGCTGTGAAATTGTGGGTTTAGAGTTGAAAAGTGGAGCAGAAACTTCACTTTAGCCCTCTGTGACCTTGGATAAGCAGACTTGCGGAAGGTATCCTTAAAAACTACAACCACACAGCTTATTCTGTGGAATATTAAGACAGTGTTGCTATTGAGGACAAATGCGTGACTTCTGTCATGTATATCTATTACCATATGCAATGCTTTTCTGTATTTCACAGGCAGTTAGAAGACAGGATTGTGCCTGAACCTGAGGATTTAGAGCTTACTAATGAAGCTAGGGCCTCTGACAATGCTAGAAATACAATAATAGCCAGAGTTTCAATTTTCTCTGAGGTCACATGGTGATTTGTATGCAAACCAGCAGCTTAACGCTCATCCCTATTAATTACCACACCTCAGAAAACACAACATTAAAACAGACCTAGTTTGAGTTCTGAGGAGAGAACAAAGGATGGAGACGGTTGGGATGGAGCTGTGTGAGTGGTGCGTGAAGGGTCCCCTCTTCTGTTAATGAGAGGGGGATGTGCTGAGAGAGTCTTTTGCAGCTTCTTTTCTACCCTTTTGAACTCTTACTTAACTCCAGAGCAGTTGTTTTTCACAATAGAGGTGGAGCTTATTCTTCCTCTTTCCTTTTGTCCCGCTCGCTAGAGTTGACTTTCTGGTTCTACGTGAAGGAGCACCTGAACCGCCACGAGCTCCAGCGGTTTTACTCCCTGCGCCAGATCTCCTCAGAGCTCGGCCGAGGTCGTGCCTGGCTGCGCTGCGCCCTCAATGAGCACTCGCTGGAGCGCTACCTGCACACGTTGCTGGCTGACCGCCCCCGTCTCGGGTTAGTGACAAGCCCCCTCGTCAGTTATGCTCCGCACACAGTTTCTCAGCTAGGTGGAATTTTTTCTTTCTTTTTCGCTTGTTTATAGATCTTTTGTGTTTTCTAGATCTTACTATGAAGACTGGGCTTTTGTGCTTGATGAAGAGAGAGCTAGTATGCTTCCTACCATGGCTGCAGGTGAGCTTGTGTTTTTGCATTAAATTATTGGTGGTAAACACACTAAACAGCTTGCTGACACAGCAGGAGAGTATAGGGTTCAAACTTTAATACAGACTTTCAGCACTGTGCAAAAGTCTCGAGTCACCCAGGAAGTTCTTGTAATCGGATTTTTGATCAGCCATATGTCATCATTTCACAAGCATCTGATTGGTAACAGCTTCATTTTTCAGCATGAACATGATTTCAAACACACCTCCAGTACATATAAAGCATACCCGGATAGAAAAACGCATAACAGGACACTATCAGCCATGGATTGGCCTCCCTAGAGCCTGGGCCTAAACATCTCTTGACAGAGAACAGAGCAAAAGGCAGCCAACTTCCAAAGAAGAGCTTTGAATGTCCTTTAAGAAGCCTGGAGAGCTATTCCAGAAGACCAATAAGCTGTACTGTTCCGCTCAGTATTAGTTTGCTCCATTTAACAATAAAGGAGATTACCAAGTTTTCATTTTCATGCTCATGATAATTGTAAAAATTATTTTTTCAAGCAAAATATAAAGAAATGAGGAGTGGTGCAAGACTTTTGCACAGTGCTTTATGAGTTGGTTATAAGTTAAGCTTAAGTAACATAAGTGGAAGCAACTCAAACTGTTAAAGCTGGATGTAGCCACTCTGACATCAGACAGTGGCCTCTTTACTGCCACCTGAATATTAGCATTTTGGCTAAAGCTATTTAGTTGCAGACAGAAGGCTCTAGGTAGCTTGAATGCATCCACAGACTGTATGCCTGCATAGCCCAAACACATCTGCATACATTTCACCACAGCTTAAAACAAAGCACCAACTTGTTGGACGGCCTGTTGGTGTAATTAGCCACACAGCAGGGCATATTATGTCTGATAAACAAGGTTAAAAAGGTCACTCAGCGACTCAGATAATGCCTAACAGGCAGCCAGGGAGCTACGGATGTCCATGTCAGCTCCCACCTGGCATTCAGATTGTTGGAGACTCCTAAAATAAAACTCCACTCTAGGACGTGCAGTTTGCTGCATTTCCACACTGGTTTCGTTTTTCAGCTTCTTCTGTGGCCCCTCTCATACAACTGAGCCCGAGGTTTAAAATTCCCTTTTAAAATATGGTCCTTTTGCTGGGCTATATTTGTTGCCCCATTATTAGAATTTACACACTGGAAGATTTAAATTCAGCCAACTTATGGCTGCATTTTTAGTCTTTAAATGTTGTGTTCTCGTGTGTTACTAACCACACTCAGTCTCTCTGAAATGACTTCACACAAACGGAGCCGCTGTAAAACACAGGAAACTGACTGACTTTGCACTTTACTTGTTAAGCATGAGTGGGTTTTTGCTGACAGTTTAAGCTCCGACCCCATTTATGTTAATGGTCGCACTGGTGCTGTTGAACTATTGATGAGCACAACTCGGATGAAAACAAACCATAAAATTATTTAGAATGTAAACCACTGATCTTGTGCCAGAGCATTTCTCTTCTTCTTCTTCTTCTTCTTCTTCTTTTTTACATCTCGGGCAGATTTGTTGTGTGCACCCAGAAATACTTAGCAAGCACAAAGAAAGTTCAAAAGCTTCATGTGTTCTAGTGGAACTAAAGTACATTTCACTTCCTTCTCTCTCCATCTGCTGCGCTCAGGTTTGAACTCCATTCTGTTTGCCATCAACATTGACAACAGCGACCTGAACGGCGCCGTAACACGCGGAGGGTCCTCAGTGTCGCACCTCCTCAAGGAGTCCACGCAGGGCATTGGCAGCCTGTGGAAAGAGTCCACTCAGGGGGTTAGCAGCCTGCTGCGAGAGATCGGCACAGCCACAGCTGTGGTGCCTGGCTTCACCCCTAAAGTGGATGGGGCCTCCGACCCACTCCCCGTGGTGCCACGCAGCACCTCTGCTGGTAGGGCAACAGCAGTGTTTGACTTGCTGTTATATGCAAGAAACTGGTGATTTTTTTTTAGTTTTGCACTTGATTGATCCAAACACTTTCTGTTTATTTGCTTTGTTTTAGTATTGCAGTATATGTGTTTTTATAAGTGTCACAAAACCAGCAAAAAGCAACATATGGCTCAGTTTGTGCTTCCATAATGGATGCTTAAACAAGGATGCAGCTCGAGGCATCTGCAGCAGAGAAGAATCCCACCGTGAAGTCTGACCTCATTTAGAAGTCTGCCTCAGTCTGTCCCGTCGGAGGGAAACTCACACCATTTTCTCTCCATATGTTCTCCTCAACGGGACTAAAGCGCCTTTAGACTTTTAACTGTGCGCTGCTGAAACTTTCTGCTGAAATGAATGTAAATGAAATTCTAAGCTGCTGCGCCGGCTCCTCCGAGTGGGAAAGCCTATTCAGATTATTCACCGTTAGAAGACTTGCTAATGCACAGCCAGCCTCTTTGGCTCTGAGAGGAAGGAGACAGACTTTCTTTTATCATCATTCATCTGTTCCTCACAAAAGCCTTCGAAATGACGATAATTGCTTAACAGTCATCATGAGTCTAGCATATCAGCTACTTTCCAAACAAGGAGGAAAAACCAAAGCCAGTGTTGGTCTCAAGTATGAAGACACGGCGCCAGGAAATTCATCACTTTTGTCAGCAGAGGCAGAATCGGCAGATAATACACATAATTGTTTTTTTTTTTCCTCATTATGCACAGTTGAGGATGGATAGAAGTGCACATGTTCTGTAATTTGCGAACAGGACTGCTCCCAATTCTGTTGCCAGTCCTCTCCCTCTCTCCTCTCAGTCCAATTTTTGAGTTTTGCATTGCACAAATACCAGTTAAAAGCACTTAAAATAAACTGTAAACAGTTCTTTCACCTTACACTTAAATCATGAATGCAAAATCTGCAAAAGCAGCTGGTAATCGCAGTGTGCTACGTTGATAACATAGACTGTATATAAAAGATAGATGCGCTCTGGTTGCAAAGAGATTATATAGAGGTCTATGAGAAAACAAGCCGACTTCTCGTTCAGTCTATGACGTCGGTAAACATTTTTCGTCTCGGTCAAGTGTTTCAACCATTATTGAATAGGTGATGACCTTAAATTTTTCATGCAGTCTTCGACCTCTGGCCAAAATACTCAGTTTGAGGCATCAAATGGGACTTCACTGATCAGTGAGCGGCATCACAGTAGCTACAGCTTGTAATCCATAGATATTTTAGTGCTGATTTTTTAGCTTTTACTGCTTTCTCTATAGAAGATGAATAAAATGACTGTCATGTGTCCTGTGTCTCAGTTATTACACATGATAAAAATGTCAGTATGCAGGTTATAAGTCTAAGTTAGTGTTTTAATCTTTTAAGCATTACAGCTGTTTGTAAGATGAAAGTATAAACCTTAAAATATATAAGTTTTTGTTCACTCCTTTGTAAAAAGAAATATATTTTTCCACCCAGACTCAGGGCTGAGGAAGGAGCGGCGGAAGAAAAAGAAGATCACCAACATCATTTCCTTTGATGATGATCTGGATGGAGGAGCTGAGGATGAGGAGGACGGGGAAGACGACTCCCAGAAGATTGGCGGGATGAGGAAAAGTCACACCGCTCCTGCTCAGAGCAGTGTGGAGGAAGGGATTGACCCTTTGGAGCCGGTCTTCTCTGAGTCGCTTGCCCAGAATGGCATGTCTGAGCCGGGCACAGTCAACTGGGTGGGGTCCCCGCATCCCTGCCGCACACCTCCCATAACGGCGCCTCCGCTGCCTGACACCAAGAGTGTAGACAACGAGGAGGAAGAGGAGGAGATATATAAGCCTAGAGCACAAACCCAAGAGGAAGAGAGGATACCGAGTGATCAGTAAGTGAAAAGAACCGAAGTAGACTAGTAGTAGTTGTACTTTAGATTCTGGTGCTCACAGCAGAAAAAATATATTTGAGAAATTCAGCAAAAAGCAGCATGTGAGCAGTTTGAATGCAGGAGATTTCTTCTTTCTGCGTGCAGCTCGCTAACATTACATTTGAGCTGAAGGACTGTTGACTGTCACACTGTCATGAGCATAAGCCTTTCGTCACAGCTAGATGCATCGCTGCTCCTGCACGGTGATCTGGCTGCGGGTTGTTTAGTTTTGGTAGAAAATAAAAATAGTTCGGGTCATGATCATGACTTCTGGAAAGAGAGATCGGTGCCCTTTTTCTGTAATTGTTTTCTATAAAACTTGCCATCTACAGACCAGAAGAAAATTACTTCAGTTAGGTTGCATTTTTATACTTTTAGCACTCAATTTTAAATGTATGTATAAAATGTATGCATGTATAATACCACAAAAAGATATAGAATTTATTTATACCAAAGGTTTTCAAACTGTGAGCCGCGCCTTCCCAGGGTGGCGGAGACGTACATGAACAGCAGAAAGTTCTAATTTGTAGTTTTCAAATAGATACACATTCCCCAGACACTTTATTAGGCACACCTTGCTAGTCCTGAGCTGGATCCCCTTTTTCAACTTGAACTGTCTTAAATCTTCATGGCAGAGATTCAGCAAGGTGCTGGAAACATTCCTCAGAGATTTTGGTCCATATTGACTTGACAACATCACACTGTCGGCTGCACATGTGGAGTACACTGAGCTCACTGTCATGTTCAGCTAATGGGTTTGAGATGATTTGAGGTGGTGCGTTATCCTGCTTGAGTTGAGCATCAGAAGACGATGCACTGTGGTCGAACAGAGATGGACATGGTCAGAAACAATACTCGGGTAGAGAGTTATTAAATTAAATTATACCACCACCATCATCACTCTGAACCCTTGATACCCCGTGGTTTTATGTCAAATTCTGACTCTGACATGCAAACGTTGAGCAGTTAATCGAGACTCAACAGACCAGGCAACTTTTCCAGTCTCATATTGTCCAGTTTTGGCAAGCCTGTGTTAATTGTAGCCTCGGTTTCCTGTTTTTAACTGACAGTAGTGGCAGCTGGTGCAGTTATTGCTGCTTTTGTAGTCCATCTGTAGGCTGGACAGAGTGGTTACTGTTGTAGAGAAATGCCACTGGATGATTATTTCCTCTTTTTTGGACCGTTCTCTTTAGATTCCAGAGGTGGTTGTGTGGGAAAGTCCCAGCAGATCAGCAGTCTCTGAGTTAGTCAAACCATCATTTGGCACCAACAACCCTGCCACATTCAAAGTCACTTAAATTATCTTCTGCCCCAGAAAAAGCTTGGTTTAATTTCAACCTCTCATTTTGGCCATGTCTGTATGCTTACATGCACTTGGTTTATGCTGTGTGATTGGCTGATTATCATTATTATGCTGTGTTAACAGGTGTGTCTGTTACAGGTGCGTCAGACTTTGAACACACCACAATAAACTTACCTGTGGGTCAATTTATTCACTGATTCCTCAAGCAGCAAACTGACCAAGAGCAAAATTGTGCTGTTTTAGGGTGGTGGTGGGCAGCCTGTCCAGCGTGTCCACGTGGAGCCCTCTACAAGTCATGGCTGGACACAGCAGCGCAGACATCCTGATTCCTGTGAACCCTGCCGACCCTCAGTCAGGTACTGCAGCAGCGGTTAGTGGCTCACGTCACAGTGGAAATGCACAATTCACACAAATAGCCAAAGATTGATTGTAGTTCTGTGGGAACTCATGAAATTTCCTGTCCCAAAATGATATCACGAGGATCAATCAGGAGTACACAATTTCATGCAATCTAGGCAAACATAACATTCACACATCAGTGCCTCTGGCAGTCTTTGATGGGGGACCTGAAAGGCCATAAAGGGAAATGGTCCTTATTTCTCTTGCAGTAGGCATGCAGTGTTTTTACTGCTGATCAGAGCGGCTTATGGTTTCTGTGAAGGATTTATTTCATCGAATGAAACGCAGGGACTTTCTCTTTTGGCTTCCAGCTTTACTTTCACTTTGTTTCAGTGAGCTCCGTGGAAGACACGGCCGCATTTCCTGTTCAGTGTGAGTCGGCAGGATCAGTGGGAAACTGCGAGAGCAGCAGCAGATCTCAGCTCACGTTCAAGTAAGCTGTCGTTTCAGGCAGAAGTGCTGTGAAACATTCTTCACTTCCAGGCCTCCTCAATGTGACGTTGTGCTGCAGCTTAATGTGCAAAATAAAATAAGAAGCAATTCCAAGATGTGATTCCTCTTTCGAATTCTTTCAGTATGGAGTCCAGTCCAACAACGCAGCCTGCTCCGCTCTCCAGCGCGCTGTCAACATCTGCTTTGCCCGAGTCCATGACAGTGGGTGAGTGTGCTTTCTTTATCCGTCTGTCTGTCTCTTACTATTTCTCGCCTCCCCTCTCTTCTTAATGTTCCCAAACCTGTTCAGTGATATGAATCATTGCGGCGTTTGACGCATGGTATTCACGACAGCTGAGCAGCATATTTTATTCAGTCACTCTGACAAGAAAGGTTCAAACATGCCCACGAACAAGATGGATTTGATCTCTTTTGGTGCGGAGCTGTGGGTTGGTTGCCAAACAAAAACATGTTGTTACTCGCGCATTTATTCGTGACCCTCAATTAGTTTCTTGGGAGTACGAGTAAAAAAAAAAAAACACCTTAAGAGGAACAGAAGAGTTAATTACAAATTGCTAAGAAGCACCTGCTGGATACACAACAAAATACTCATTTAGCTAGCAAAACTTCAGATAAAGGAAAATGTTTTCAATTAATATTTTTATTTTCTTGCATGCATGATTGTAGAATTTGTAAAATTGTGCACTGATGCATGCAAGAAAAACATGCACGAGACTCTCTTCAGCCCAAAAGGTGATATGTGCATTACACACACACACAGACTTTGTCTAACCTCAAAACATACATTTAAACTTGCTTTTATCAGCAAAATGTGTGTGTGAGAAATTTGAGTTTGCGCAGCTGAATAACGAGTGGCCCAAAACGCCACAAACCTCTCCTAAATTGAATGAAACATACAAACGCCTTACATTAGATTTGACTGCAGGAAACTCACTTGTCAAATTATCTGTTCCTCAAGAGGCTTTACCCAGAAGATGATCAGATTTCAAGCTGTAGGCCCAGAAGTTTGTGACCGTAATGAATCCTTTGAAAGTCCTGACATGTCTTTCTTGGGAAATTTCTCCACAGCTGTGGAACCCGGAGCAAATGAAATTGAACTTCCTGATTAGTGTTTTCAAACCTTGTTGTCATTTTTCTTGCCGGATAAACTGATCTAATTGCAGTGAGTTAAGCCCTTCGTCCAGAGACTGTTCATTGTGTTTTCATTATGTTAAATCATCCACCAGGTGGTGCTGTTGTTCCAGTGTTCTGGCATGTTACTGTATGTACTGTATGGACTCGCTGTTTGCTTGGGAGCATGGCAAAAATCAGATTGTGAGAATGCCTGTAGTTCACATCAAATTTCTGATCTGTAATAAAAGAAAAAACAGAAACACAGAAAACTAAAATGAAATCACACGATGGACATTTTGGTGTGTGCGACCAGCTCACTGAACACACAGACTTTTTTTCCTCTTGCCTGGAGTCTGCTTGGTGTTCTGCTCAGTGCCCCGGAGCTAATCAGAGCTTAGACCCTTAGACGCCCAGACGGATGCTGTTTGAGATTTTGGGATTTAGTGTGTGTGTGAGAGAGAGAAAAAGACGGAGAAAGCCAGAGGAGGGAAGGTGAGGGGGAACTGCTCTTAAGCACCGGGACTGAGTGGTCGTCTAGTCTATTAGTCCTCAGTAAGAGGAGGCCAGAGGGTCAAAGAGAGAGAAGGGGAGAGAGCTGCTGATCTGAAATTTCTCTCATAGAGGCAAAGAGCAGAGAGGATGGTTTTCATGGTTACACAAGGCCTTTAAAAGATGTAGAATAGCAGATTTCAATAGCTGCTTCTTCCTTCAAAGACAAATCCTGCCTGAAACTCTAACGTCACATTTAGGTATCAGACTTTAAAGAGCAAAAGAGCTTCTCTCCAGACTGAGTCACATCACACAAGGAGGAAACCAGTGGACAGAGGCAGAGATACCGTTTTTGACTTGGTTCAGTTTTTATATTTTCAGTAGAAGATCAGAGCTTCTTCTCAGCTGAAAAACTCCTATTCACTTTGCTCTCCCTGGCTCTGTTGCTTTTGCACCTAAGCCAAAACAACAGTTCCCCCTGAGATTTGTGCAGAATCGTCTGAAAGGAGAAGGAAAAATACGCAGAACATGTCTGATTAAACCTTGATTTTATAGCGTTTCACTCTGGGTTTTGCCTTTAGGTAAAATCCACTTTGTATTGATCTAAACTGCAGGTTAAACTTTCCATAGAGACGTGCCACCATTTCATACGTGGAATTGAGTGGACTTGTCAACAAGAGTAACGGTGAGCCTGTGAAAACACCAGAGTGATGCATGCAAAATACTAAATTACTCGAGCTGATTAGGTTTAGATTGTGTTATACATTTGTACTATGTTATTAGAGCACACTGAAGGGCAGTAAAAACAGCCCATGATGTTGTTTGCCTGTTTAGTGAGTACATTTTTGATAAATTCAGAAGGTGCTGGATTTATTTAAAGGCGTGCTGGAGAACCTGAAGGAAAAACTGTGTTAGGAGAAAAAAGAAGGATGAGGGGTGCAGTGTGAGCTCGGCCTCAGTGATTTCCTTCTGGGTCTGACAGCTCGTGAGGCCAAGCGGTCCACTGATTGGAGAGTATTATTACAAGGCGTAGATCTCGCCTAATGCATCTGTTATTGGAACGATTGAGCCGGGGCGTGCACGTGCTGGCGGAAGTGCACGCTGTCTTGTTTTCCTGGAAAGATGGCTCTTCCACGCAGAGCCTGAGCACAGAGGTGCGTGCGTCTGTCTTTCTGCACACAGACTTGTGCTGTAATTTGTTCACGTCCTCTTGTGTGGACAGAGGGGCGTCTGGCTCTACTGAAGTCCCTAATGGCTCGTCCGTGGCAGCCGCTGTGAACGCGTGGTTGGACTAAAGGTCACGTTTATTTCTGGCCTGCTGATGTGGAGAATGGAGCTGTGGAGATAATCGAGTTTTTCCCCTTTCTCCTCACTGTTGTGCTTGTCATCGCTTTTTTTCTTCGCCTTTCCTTTTTCCTCGTCCTCCTCCAAACAGGCACTTATCCCGGGGTTAGATGAGAGACCTGCTCATGTCTGTGGCTATATCGACACCCTACATTAGCCATGAAAACAAAGCTAAGGTCTTTGCATGTGTGTAATTCAGGACATGCAAAATGCAGGATGGATTAGCTCTGTGTCTCACGGTTAATATTTATGGAAGTCCTGGTAACAGCCTAGTTAGGCACTTTGAAACCTCAACGCTCACCTCCGAGCGTAACTATGGAGATGAGTCACCGTGCAACTGCGCAGCCTGGCCCAAATCTGTCCTCAACATCAGGATGGAGATTAGCATCACCCGGCAGCAGACTGCTGGCAGACTTTGTCTGCGACTGATACAGTTCCACTGACTGACGCTTTAAGCTGGAAGAAAAAGACCCGGAGACCTTTAAACTGAAGTTGCTGCCACACATATGACACAAATGTCACCGTTATATTTATTGGGGATTAATCTGTCGGTTATTTTTTTCTGTGAATTGATTTTCCGGTCTATGAAATGTCAGAAATTGGAAGGAAAAAAACTGTTTTCCTCAGAGCTATTTGATTTGTCTTTTTTGATGTAACTCCTTAGACATATATAATTCATAAGGTCAAGAATTTTTTACTGCTTCAGCTTGCTCTCTTTTTTTTGTTTTAGCCAAACTTTAGAGCGACAGTATCCAAAATTTCGAGTGGTCCTGCCCAGTTTCAGATATTTTGCTGTGCACTCAAACTCTGATTTTCAGTGATTCGTTTCAATCTTTTCTTGCGTTGTTCCCGAGTTTTAGTCGCACAGTTTTGCTCCTGGCACTTGACAGCCACCATTCTGTTATTATTGCCTTCCTGCCACTATGAAGATATAAACAATCTAAATTTGATCCCATGGATTTGTGTTAATACACTGCTTGAAAACAAATACATAAATAATGGAACACTTAAATCACACATCTTGATGAACTAAATATTGAAGCTTAAAATCTTTACTGATTTTAACAGTCAGTCAAAGCGAAACCACCAACAGTGTGAGGGCTGGATGAAGTCATCAGGTGATCCTGTGGCTAAGTAGACCATATGCCTGTACGCACTCATCATAACATCTGGGCACACTCCTGTGGATGTTGTCCCGGGGGATCCCCTCCCAGACATGGATCCGAGCATCAGTGAGCTCCTGGACAGACTGTGGTGCTATGTTGTGGCTTTGGATGCATGACACATAATATCCCAGAGGTTCCTAGTTGGATGCATTGTGGGGTATGTTAGGTCCAGTCAGTGGCATCGATGGCCGAGCACTTTCCTACACCAGGGAACCCGAGGCCTGCTGCATTTTCAGGTCTGAGGATTTCTCGGTAACAGCAGTCAGGCTACTGTTGGCTAATAAAGGTCTGTATTACTGATCAACACAGTCGGAGAGAAGTTCAGAAGGTAGAAAACCTAGTATAACCTTAGTACTGTAATCCCTTATTCCCTTGTGAGAATCGAGTACAAAAGAGGGAATGCCTGCTCAGTAAAATAAAAGCAAATTATGTTCAGATGATTGTAATTATTAGATATTTGTGAGGTAATTGTGTTTTTGTTTACTAGCACGGCAGAGCAGAGTTTACATGAACCCAAATCTAAACCTGGATTCACTCTTAGATTTTCTTGGCTTTGTTTCTTTCTTCAAAGTTTTTAGTAGCTACCACAAAAGTATGTTTTATTGTGGCAATAAAAGTGCTGCTCTCTGTGAGTCCGATGGATCTCATTCTGTATAACTCCTGTCAGCTGAATAAAAAAAAAAAGTTAAACCTGATTTTATCAAAGCAGTTCATCTTTGTGACAGAACAAAAATCTCACATTAATACAGCAAGTGCGGCGTGTGGGATGCTGTTATTTCTACATTTGAAAGCTGTATGATATGAGTTTATGCATATTACTGTGTGTAGTCTTTGTGTGTCTGTGATGCATTGGAAGCAGTTTCTATGCAGAAATCTCACCGCAGTGTCTCTTCTGCAGTGGAGCTGCGTCAGGCCATTGTAGCCATGATGAACAGGAAGGACGAACTGGAAGAACAAAACACGTACGTTGGGATTCACTCCTCTTACCTGCTGCTTGCAAACTTTCAAATGCTCCATCACACACACATACTTAGGCTGGAAGAACTTCTCTTATTAGCCTCCAGAGACTGTGACTTGCAGCGATTTAATAGATGCTAAAAAAAAAAGTTAAGCATGCTGAAAGTCAAAGGTCAATAGTTTTATTGATAAGCTCAAAAATACAATACATATTTATTTCTCTTATAGATTTGAAAGCAAAAAGGTTGACTGAAGTACTTTACAAGTTAGTTAAAGAAAACAAGATGAAACAACTGATCAATAAATTAAAAACGATACAGTGAAATAAAACATAAAAACCAAAAATACAATGAAATAGACTAAACTGCTTTAATGGGAACCATGGCTGTACTATGAGAATTTGGAGTTGTTTAAGTTGCACTGCCTGGTTAAATAGTTGGTTGCCATTTAAAAATAAAAAGTAAGTAAAAGGATCTCACATTTTCTAATATAAAAAATGGACAGGGAGCCTTTATAGACCTGATGAAACTGGAGTGATGCAAAATCTGTTAAACGAGCAGCATTTTGACTGCCTGCGAGCAACAAACAGATACAAGCTATTACAGTAGTCCAATCTAGAGCTGATGAAAGCATAAATATGGATTTTTAAGGCCTTTTGGAGGAAGATGGGATTTTGCTTTGGGAATCTGACGCAGGTGATAAAAGCTGTGTTAACCCGTCTCTAACATCTCGTAGACAGGAAAATAAATCTGGATGGTGTCAGCGTAACAATGGAAGTGAATTTTGTACTTCCTGAAAATCGATCCCAAAGGCAGCATATATAATGAAAACTGAGTAGGACCCAACATGGACCCCTGAGGTACGCCACAACAAATCTAAAATAACTAAAAGAGCAGAAAAACCCGAGTCAGCAGTTAAGAAAAGACCATTAAAATACAAATACCACAAGTGTCTAAAAAGGTCTGATGATTAAAGTCGATTTCAAGAAGTTTTCTTTTTGGAAAAAAAAGCTGCACAACAGCGCATATGAAAGCAGGTGATACACAACCCGATGACAAAGAAGGATTTACTAGCCTGAATATTATGAAGGGTTTCCTTAAGAAGATGAGAGGCGAGGATCTCTCTATATAATTAAAGTGAATCTCCTGCCAAGCAGAGGTTAGAATTTCATACTAAATGATTTAAATTTAGGGTATTAAATTAACGACACAGGCACAGATTAAGTGCTGATTAAATATTTTATATCAGAGCTAAATGTAAATCAGTCTGTCAGTTAGTGCTGCAATTAAAGCAAGTATCGTCAGTTTATCTAATCTGTTTATGAAAATAACATCCCCAGTATTTTAACATTTAGAGGATTAAGCCTGTGTATGGGATGCTACCTGAATGTGATAGTGATAGAAGCCTGTGTTATTTATGCATAAACGTGCATGGCAGCTGCTTTTTAAAGTGTTTTTTTCTTTAGGTCTCTTCGCAGTCTGCTGGATGGGGAGATGGAGCACTCAGCAGGCCTGAGGCAGGAAACCGATCTGCTGAAGAAGAAGCTGGCAGAACTGGAAGAGAGGCACTCAGCGAAGGTCCAGGCGCTGGCCAGGTAAGGCGTGATGACTGCGGACCATACGTTAATACGTAACGTCTGCCTGCACAGTGGATGATTGAAACTGCACGTAGCAGGGGACTTATTCTATTAACGTTTAACAAGTTAATGCACTCTTAACAAATGAATGAGAGCAAAGAGTGCAGATTTAAAAATACTGCTTTTGATTTCAGGTGACAGTAAATTTAGATTATTGTGTGCGCCAAAGCATTTGCACGCTGACGTAAACAGACGATTTATTTGTTTTTGTCTACTGGTCAGAAAACTCATTTTTTACTCTTATTGACACTTTGGACCACAGGTTATTCAATTTGTTGACTTTCAGTCAGAAAATTGTTAATGGCACCTCTGATATAACAAATGAAGTCCCATTCGAAGCTTCCACACTATAACCCTTTGGGCACACAAAATAGTGGCAGAATATGATGTCAAATGATCTTCTGGTTTCACCTCTAGCAAGAAATTGTAACATTTATGATTTTCTGGCACATATTTACCCATACAGTAGTTTTAAATTCATATATTCTTGAGTCAATATATTTTGCGGGGAAAATGAGAAATAGGTGCAGTGATGGATTGAAAAGTGTGCACACATGTATGGAAGAGGGGAAAAACAGTTTGCACAATTCTAATGAGTTTGAAAGTCAATACTTGTTAGGACCACCTTTTGTGCTTTAACACAGTCTGAACTCTGTCAGGCAGCTTTCTTGTCATTTCTTTAGGTAGTCTTGTGGAATAGTTCTCCAGGTTTCTTGAAGGACATTCAAAACTCTTCTTTGATGTTGGCTTTTGTTCTGTTCTCTGTCAGGACGATTCCACACTGCTTCAGTAATGTTGACTGATAATGTTCCAGTGTTTGTTTTTCTATCCAGGTATGCTTTCACTCCGTTGGCAGTGTGTTTGGAATCAGTGTCACGCTGAAAAATAAAACAATTTCTAATGGCACACGTCACAGATGACAGATGGCATTGCATGGTGGCTCAAAATCTGACTGCATTTTTCTGCGTTCATAATTCTGTCACTTTTAACAAAATCCCCAACACCACTGGCTGAAACGCGTCCCCAAACCATGACAGAGCCTCCACTATGCTTTACAGATGGCTGTAGACACTGTTGTACCTCTCCTTCATACATTTTGAGTCCATAAAAGGATATTTTCAGTCCAGTTCTTGTGTAATTTTTCATACCTCAGCCTTTTTCTCCTGGTCCTTAAAGATGGCTTCTTGACAGCCACCCTTCCACTGAGATCATTTCTGATGAGGCTTCAGGGCCACGTGTATCCCTCAGGTCCTGTGTCATGTTCAAGTGGCCTCCACAGTCACCAGATCTCAATCCAGTCGTCTGGACTGAAACGAGAGATTCACATCATGGATGTGCAGCTGACAAATGTGCAACAACTGTGTGATGCTATTATGTTATCAGCACCTTGCTAAATCTGTGTCATGAAGAATTACGTCTGTTCTAAAAGCAAAAGGGCACCCAGCCCAGCGCCAGCAAAGTGCACCCAAACAAACATAAAAACCCAAATGGCTGCTGATTGTAGTTTAAGGACAAATGGTGTATGGATGATGTTGTGGTGGGAGGATTTGTCACACCAGTGTTTGAAAACACTTTTAAAATTCCAGAAATGGAGCTGCATGACATTTAAATATTTTATATTCTGGCACATTGAGCATTAACCGCTTAATGCGTTAAAAACATGCATTTTGGCTTTTTGTTTGCACTGACACTGTCAGTAGAATGCAGGTGGAACTGCATGATCATCCAAGTCATGTAAACAGAGTGTCTCCAGATGGGGCAGTGCAGCAAAAACACTGACTGCAACTGAATATAGTCCTTAGCAGTTACACCTGTGTTTTACACTTCAGTAGGACTGGAGTCAAAGATACAGGCGTGTTATTGACTGCTCCATTCATTAGCTGTATGGATCCACATATTTAAACCAAAAAGTTTTCAGTCAGCAGAGCAGAAGTAAACACTGTGTTAAAGCTGTAATAGCCTCAAGGACTTTCATGTCTGTGATTAAAGCTGCCTTGTTGCTGAGGATTGTGCAAGGCCTTTCCTTAGACCTGCTGTACCTGCGTCACTGTTTTACACATAATAACAGTAATTACCACTAATGGCAAGAGCTTTACGCAGACAGGAAAAGGAAACTATATTTGTGCACTGTTAAGTTTCCCCATCGAGTTCAGTCTACTCATGATTAAAAGAACTAGAGGATACACGTCAGAGCAGAGTAGGAAACTTGACCCCATTCATACTCGGTGTGTGAGATTTCCTTTTCCTAAATCGCAGATACAGTCAGTGTTATCCCAATAAGTGGCCACCTACGGTTCACTGAAAGTGGCCTCTATCACCTTGGCATGTGCCCAGAGTCCTCAGTCAAGCCCTGAGCCCTTTAAATAGATGACTAGTCATCCTGCAGCAGTCGAAACAGAAAGCCCCAGCAAGCAAGATTGTAGCCTCCCACAGTAAATCAATCCACTAGCTGGGATTGATTGGGTGACTCAAGTTAAGTGTGTGGAGACCGAATCTGATGGGTTTGTTGTTGGGAGCGGACAGGGCAGCAGCTGACTGAGCCGTTTAATATGTGATGATGTTCATATGGAGCACTTTAATGGGGTGGAAATGACACGAGGTAGAGAGGCAGTGAGAACAAGAGAGGACTGTGACATACAGTTTGCATTTTCACACAATCAATCGCACTCAGACACATAAATCCGTTTCTGTAGTCTGCTGCTAAATCTCAAGTGCTGCTTTTCCTTCTCAGCCAAATCTGTCTCGATCAATAGCGGCTATAAATACCGTTGAAGGAGCAGCTAGCCGCTGAATGAGGGCTTGGAGCTGTCGGCATCATTCTGTGAAAGCGGCTACTGGCAACTGTTGCTATGTGCCCCACAATTCTTCATCATTACTGCGTTAATGGTGAATTGAGTCAGTTTTGACACTGAAATGGTAACATCTTAACACTCATAAGAACGACTGCTTTTCTTGTTGACCCGATGGAAGTGCCTTACTCCCGTTTAATTAATCGAGACATTGTTTAATCTGAGATTAATTTGAGAGGAATCACTTTGCTGCCTCTGGCACTGTGCAGGTTAACTTTTTATCTTTACCACCAGATGGTCCTGCTGTTTGAGGAAGTCATCTTATTTTAGAAATCTTCTGAACGATCCTTCTTACATAGTAGAGTGATACCCATACTAAAGGAAGTGTCTTATATACACAAAGCGTGTATGGATGCCTGCGTGTGTGTGAGCCTGGTCGTACATGGGGGTGGCGGAGGATGAGCAAGCCTCCATACATAGATTCCGGCTGACGTAGACTCGGGCAGAGGGGAGTGGGCTAAAACGAGCAGCTGCCCACTTTACCGACTTACTCACAGATCCATCCACATATAACACGAGAGTGTAAGACCCATACTCACACATTGTGACATTGCAACCCACAACCCAAGCGCATATGTAATAGTCCTCTCTTGTGGTCTGTACGCACACCAAGAATTAGCATTCTTTGTATTTCCATCACCTGTTGGATTTGCTGTTGCTCTTTCTTATGACCAAAACGAATCAGGACCTGTAATTTGGGACGGATACATTAAAAAATCTCTGTGCATTGATTAGTTATATTTGAGTACACCTTAATAAAAAATAAACTTCACATAGCAAAAGACAACTAGTGACGAGTGCTAAATATCATAGTTATCTTTCAAAAGAGTGTAAAAAGTTTTTTGCTAATTTCTACTCAAATGTGGGATTTTGCAATAGTGCTCGAGTTTTTACTTGACATTTTTAACTAGCCAATACTCAAGCATTTTTTAATGTATCTGTCCCAAATTACAGGTCCTGAATTATCTTCATGATAAGAACGAAAGTAAAAGCTTCAGACTTTTATCTTCAGTAGCTACTGTGGCAAAAACAAACAAACAAAAAAGAACTGCACTTTGAAACTGGTTGCCCTTTCCTCTTACCATCTGGATGCCTCCTTGTTTTTGTTGTCACTTAAGATGATCCTCGTCATTATTACACCGTAAAATGAATTTGTTATCAATATGATGACTCCCTAATGGCAATGCATATTGGAATATTATTGATTAATACTGTGATTAATATTCATTTCTTCATTTCTAATGACACAAGGCATTAAGTCACCAGAAAGCTGTTGCTAAATAGCAATGTCCCACAGCAATTGACCTTGCTCTAAATGTCTAACCCTCAAGCTCATTCCTCAGAGAATAGTGAGACAGACACACAGAAAATCTTTCCCCTCAACTATTTCTTGCCCCCCTCTTCATGCGACAGTTGGCAGAGCGGAAAGCAGGCCTCTCGCAGCAGGAAGACGGGAAGGTGGCCAGTCGAGTGGGCTCGGGCCAGCTAGCAGTTCCTCGTCACAGGGAGAGGGGGTGGTTGGACAGGCGGACACATACGTGCGCGCACACACTCGCATGCAAAAGAAACGAGAGCAGATGCCTTTTTCTTAGCTGGCAGAGCCGCCTTTCTCCAAGCAGTCTGGTACGGCTTTTCTAAAAAAATAAATAAATAAAATAAAATAAAGTGGCAGAGCAAGCGGCTGTGATGTTTGCCCGGTTTATTTGTTGGGGCTGTTTAGTCAGTTATGTCATTCTGCCCAAACGGAAGTTTTAACAACCCAGTCCTCCACCCCACAGCCATGCTGTGCCTCTGCGTGGATTTATCTATATGTATAATGCATATATGTGCCTCTAGAAGTGTGTCAGGAGAGAGAATGTATGCTTTAAGGGCTTTTTATTTATGTTTTTTAAAGATGGCAGTGCAGTAAATTGCACTCGGGAGCATTACCTAGCGACTGAGCTGCTGATCTCTGAAGGCGTCTTTAAACCTCTCATTCACTACTTCCAAACAGAGCCAGACTGTACCTGAAGAAGAGCCAATTTATGCTGTGTTTATTGCACATTAAGATGGCTTTAGACCATGGGATAATAAACGGAGGGATGTGGAAATGTAATACAAAAAAATCACTCCA